AAAGAAAACCAAACTTCAATAGCCTCCTAGCAACAATAAAAAAAAAAAGGCAGCTCGGTACACAACGTATCCCGCATTCACACGGGGTCCAGAGAAGGGCTGCATCCCAAGGGGTGTGACGTAGACAACCTGCCCTAATACAAGCATTAGTGGCTGCATTTACGGGTCGAACTCGTAACCTATATGTCACATAGAAACAGTTTTACCGTTGCTCCAAAGCTCACCCTCAATACCCTACTAAGGGGTCGTTTGGTTGGAATAATATTTATACCGGTATAAGTTATGCTGAGATTGTTGTTTATTCATTGTTTGGTATGTTGTATTAAGAATGACAATTGCATAATTTCTAAGAAGAAGGTATAAGCTATACCAATGCTAACTACCCCACCTTCTATCATGTATAAGTTATCACGTTAACACCGAGATAACTTATACCTAATTTGCTAACCAGACAGAATATTAAGGTGGTGTTAAACTTTTATACCACCCTTATACCTTCTTATACCAAACGACCCCTAACAGTTGTTGCAAAAATTGATTCTATACATAAAACCAAATAGAGCTACAACAATTAATCAGAACTTCACAGACTTTAACACAATGTATCCATTTTCACTCTCTTTATTTCCTCTTCTTCTACTCCTCATGTTCATCTTCTCATTTCTTTCTATCCCTTCTATCTCAACCAATCAACATGCAAATAACATGGAATCCCAAGAACTTGAAACTCTTTTCAAGATTATGGAATCCATGTCTTCTGATCAAAATTGGAGAATTTCCCATCCAAATCCATGTAAACAAACTTCATCTTGGCTTGGAATAGAGTGCAAAAAAAGTAATATTGATAACATGTTTCATGTTACTAGGCTTGATTTTGGTACAAATCCAAATCCAACATGCAAAAATACATCAACTTTCCCTTCACAAATTTTTCAACTCCCAAATCTTGAATCTATTTTCTTTATTCAATGTTTCAAATATATCAAAACAAGAATCACTTTTCCAAAAACAAGAATTCTAAGCCTTTCACTTCAACAACTTAGTCTAAGATCAAATCCTTCACTTTTTGGTTCAATCCCACCTCAAATATCACTACTAAAATCACTTCAAATTCTTACTTTGTCACAAAACAATCTTTTTGGTCAAATTCCTTTAGAAATCTTTACCTTGAGTTCACTTGTACATCTTGATTTAAGCTACAACAAGTTTACAAGTAAAATCCATGACCAAATTGGTAATTTCAAAAATCTTGTAGGCTTAGATTTAAGCTACAACAATTTCATTGGTTCAATTCCTAACACAATTGGCCAACTTGGTACACTTCAAAAGCTTGACTTAAGTTCTAATTCATTCACTGGAAAAATTCCAGAGAGCATAGAAAATCTACATTCTTTGATTTTCTTGGCTTTAAGTAACAATAAATTAAGTGGGAATTTTCCTAAAGGTTTAATTAAGTTACAGAGTTTACAATATTTTCTTATGGATGATAATCCAATGTTTATTCCATTACCAGTTGAGTTCAGTCAGCTGAAAAAACTTCAAGAATTGAGACTTGCTTCTTCTGGTTATTCAGGAAAAATACCATCAAGTTATTCAAAACTCTTGAATTTAAGCACATTGTCATTACAAAATAATCGATTAACGGGTGAAATTCCAGTTGAATTTTCTAGTTTTTCACATATGTATCACTTGAATTTGAGCAGAAATTTTTTGGATGGTGTTGTTCCATTTAATTCAAGTTTCTTGAAAAGACTTGGTAGAAATTTGGACTTAAGTGGAAATCCAGGGCTTTGTTTTAATCCACCTGAAGCAAATGGAGTTTATGTTGGAGTTAATATTTGTGGGAGAAACAAAAATAGTTCTATAATTATGCCATTGAAGAAATCTGAAGCTTCATATGGAGTAATGAAGTCATTTTTTCTTATGTTTGTTTTCTGTATTATGGCTTTGTATTATTTATTTTTCTTTGTTTAGGAATTAGGTTTGGTTGTATTATTGATTCTTTTTACTAAATTGTACCTCCCAACATGTACTTGTGAGTCTATTAAGTAACATAATTAGTTCTTATTGCTATTTACTTTACAGTCATTAATATTAGAGTTTAAGTTCCAAAAAATACTCATACTATTATAGATCACTTCAGATTGAAATTAATTTGATAATATAAAAAAGGAAGTTTACACTGTCAATGGATATAACGTAAGCCTTTAAAATTATCATGGATAATTTGATACTCCCTTCCGGTCCAAAATAAGCGATTCTTAACTGTTTTTACACAGATTAAGAAATCCACCTTTTAACATTAATTAGCAGTGAAATTGATCATATTAACCTTTACTATCTCTTCACATAAATGCTCCTAACACATAATTAATTCATTCTTGAAATCTGGAAAAATCACTTATTTTGGACCACAAAAAAAAGGCCAAAAAATCAGTTATTTTGGATCGATTCTCGTTCAAATAGCCATCTCTTAATTAGGTTGGCATAATAGCTCGTTTGGACATAAGAATTTTTTACTTTTTTCGAAATCAGTGTTTGGTCATAAGATTTCGAATTTTCACTTGAAGATGAATCTTAGAATTTTTTAAAAATTTGAAAAACTCTAAAAAATTGTTTTTTCAAAATTTTCACTCAGATCACTCACAAAACTTCAAAAACAATCCAAAATTATATTCATGTCCAAACACAATTCTAATTTTCAAATAACATTTTTACTTCAAAAAATAAATTCACTTTTTTTTTTGAAATTTTACAATTCTAATGTCCAAACGCCGACCAGGGGCGGATGTACCTTGGTGTAAGCGGTGTCATCCGACACCGCTTCGCCGGAAAAATTCACTAAATATGTGTAAATTATTAATGTGTACAAAAAATATTTATTAAATAAACAAAAAGGACGCAACTTTACATATACTTCTCGTTAGCTCTGGTGGTCAGGTGCTTTTTTTTTATTAGGAGAGGTCCTGGGTTCGAACTTCAGCAGCTTCATGCTGAGTAAGATTTTCAGCTTTCTGCTAAAAAACTTGTTTTTCCTCCAAGTATATTCCATGGTAAGTTTTCTTACTATTTTTTTTCTTTCTATCTCTCTTTGGGGAAGATGAAGTTGGTCCGAACCCAAATTGTAAAGTCAAATAATGAAAGAGTTTTTTAGTGATTGCTTAGTGTTATATATAAAAAAGGTTGTATTTACTATTATGTCTAGAACCAATATTCTGAATACATTTCAAAAAATAAAAACTTGTAAAGGTTGTAGTATTATACTTTAATTCATTTTTTTTAATAAAATTCTAATTTGTATTATTTTTATGTGTATCGTAACAATAATTTATCTATTTGTTCACACTTCATTAAATGCGACACTGCTTACGAAAAATTCTGCGTCCGCCCCTGACGCCCACTATATCTCATCTTTCAAAAATGACCTGATTTTTGATCTCTTGCAAAAAGGAAGGAATTATACGGCACAAATTATTAATATGTACTCCGTCTGTTCCAGTTTATGTGAACCTATTTTCTTTTTGGTCCGTTCCAAAAAGATTGACCCCTTTCTAAATTTGGAAACAATTTAGTTTAAACTTACAATTCTACCCTTAATGAGAAGCTTTTATAACCACACAAATACTCTGGACCCCTTTTTGACTTGTTTAAGACCACAAATTTTAAAAGTCTTCATTTTTTCTTAAACTCCGTGTTTAGTCAAACATGTTTACATAAATTAAAACGGAGGGAGTAATACGTTTTAAAAAATCCAATGTTTTGGCATGCTAATACTATAGGAGATAATACTTTAGGTCAGAGCAGCTAACTATTTGCACAGACAAAAGGAGTCATGCTTAGGTGTTTTCTCTGTCAAAAAATCTCTCTAATTAGTATCGTTGAAAATGCACCTTCTCATATCACCATTCCTTTTATCCAAAAAGAATTTTTTTTTTGAAGGGGCGAATAAAGAAAACGGAAAAGGGTCAAAAAATGTGTAAGATATGGGTCTACAAATGTGTGAGATAAAAGAGGCATCACACAACTAATGTCCGTTGTGTGAGCCACACCATAAAATCACCCCCTTAACTATGAGGGTGAATGACATAAAATGGACTTTTTGAGGTGGTATTAGCGGAATGGTCCCAAAATTTACGGTATCTAAAAAATGACCCCGGACTAGATCGACGTAAGGTGCGTAGCGGTGTAGAGTCCAACTAAGACTTCCATGAAAGGTCTCATTCATCTTGATTGAGGAGTTTCTTACTGACCGCTAAACCTGCTCTTTCTGAGAATGGTTTTACCCCGCTCCTCAATCTTATTCTGTTTCCGATCCTGCTTCAGATTCTCTTTCAGTTGTGGAAACAAGCCCCTATTCCTATCGGTAGAGCACCCCCCTAATCTGGTGCCTTTTCTCTAAAATGGAATCTTCTTGAACCCTGTCCGAACGAAGGGCTTCCTCTATCTTAAGCTCCGTTTGGAATTGGGTCTCAATTATTGCCTCATAAATATCTTCGGGCAAGGGACGCTTGATAGTATTTATGCTAAGACGATCACTGAGCTCCCGACGCCTCTGTCCGTCCTCCTGACCCTCACAAGCTCTTCGGGGGTTTCTCTATCGGATCAAATTGTTCATTGAAGTATAACGAATTGTCATACTTTTGCTCTTTAGTATTACTCTGCCTATTTATTAAGTTGTTCATTGTAATTTACCGGATTGGTTATACTTCTGCTCTTTAGAAATTTCTCTACCGAGTTGGTAGAGTACATTTTGCCTACCTATTTTTAAGTTGTTCATCAAAGTCTACCGGACTGTTTTATCTTTTCTGGGTAGTTTAAACAAACTTCAAATTTGCAACTTCAGTTTCGATCAAACCACTCCAAATATGTTCCAAAATGATCTCAAATTTGAAATAGAGCTTTCAAATACCAACACGAACAATCCTTAGTTCCTAAAATAACAACAACAGCAACAACAACAACGACAACAACAACCCAGTGAAATCTCACTAGTGGGGTCTGGGGATGGTAGTATGTACGCAGACCTTACCCCTACCCGAAGGGGTAGAGAGGCTATTTCCGAAAGACCCTCGGCTCAAGAAGACAAAAAGACAAAAAGAGACAATAGTATTATCACAGAAACCATAGGAAAATATAAGAAAAACAGGAACAACATAAAATCCAGAAGAAAGCTGTAAAACAAAAGCGATAACTAGTAAATAGGTCCGACACTAAAAAAGAAATAGTAAGACACGACATTGCCACCCGTTACCTAGACAAAAACCCTACAAGACTACTCTAGCAACGGAACGAACTAATGCAAGACCCAACTACCTCCTAACCTACAACCCTAATACTTGACCTCCACATCTTCCTATCAAGTGCCATGTCCTCAGAAATCTGAAGCCTCGCCATGTCCTGCCTGATCACCTCTCCCCAATACTTCTTAGGCTGCCCTCTACCTCTTCTCATGCCCTCCACAACTAGCCGCTCACACCTCCTTACCGGAACATCTGGGCTAGTTCCTAAAATAACACCAAAATCAAAAATACCCAATTTGTCTTCTTCAACACTTTCTAAGTCCAAAATGAAAATTTTAAATAAATTTTTTTACAAGGACTTTTTAGGGTTAAGATTATTGTCTTGCATAGTGCCACTCCATCTTAATACTAAAACATATTTTAAATGAGGAAAAATAAGAGTTGAATGTCTGCTGAGAGGCGAATATGAGCTTGTCCACTCATGATAAAAGTATACTAGGTACCAAATTTAAATAAATAGACTTATTTCCACAGTTGCGGGGCAAATTTGAATTCATATAATCGAACCAAGTTCCAATTAATATTGTAAAGGGTGGGTGTGGGGGCAGGGGCAGAGCTACCCCTACGCTAAAAAATTACATACATTGTATATATAAGATTAATTTTTTTTTTTTATGTATATACGTTAGATGTTGAATCTACTTTTTAGCTTTATTGCGTGTTTTTTTTTTAATTTTTAAATTCCTCTGATGAAAAATCTTGCTTCCGCCGCTGGTGGGACAGAGAGAGATAAGGGATTGTTTGTGTAGGGACATGAGTGTTGTGTATGAAGAAACAAGACCTTCAGAGGACTGAACACAAGGACACTTAAAAGAAGAAGCTGCTGGATCCCACCCTTCAGTTCTGTCTATTCATATCATAATACATAGTTTTCTCAAATATTATTAGCTGCATTTCTTGTCCTATATACTTTAACTGATAATAAATTTTACCTTATTTACCTTTCACTACTAGTCTCATAAACAACAATATTGAATGGTAGCAGGCAAGTACCAGGGATGGTATCAGCGACGAAACCAAAAATTTTGCTAAGCGTGTTCAAGATTTAATATACATTTTATAAAAAGTAATTTTAAATTATATATGCAGTATAATTTTTCGATGAATAGTGATGAACTGACCGCCCTTGATTGTATGTGGCTATGCCACTGAGCAAGGTATGTTGGTAAAAACGTATTTGTCACGAGTATTTACATCAAATTATACCAATTTACATCCACGTACAACTCCTTCGTGAGAATAGATATTAAATTTAGTATAATTACGACCACATATTTATATTATTTATCTTTTAAGATTTTCACACAACTCTTAAGAAGATGCTTAATATTTTGAAGGAGTATTTGTCTAAAATACCCCTTATCTCCTCTTAAACGTCTTACATAACTAACATTCCAGTAATTAGAATAATAAGGGTAAATTTGAAGGAAAAAAAAACGATAAATATAATGTAAGTGATTTCTTGTTTTTCTAATATCTCAAAAAAATTGAAATATAATTATTTTGCCAAAAGGTCAAATATGTTTGACCGTAGGATTTCGGGTTCGAGCCATGAGAATAAAAAAAAATTCAGATAGGGAGCACTTCCTCCTATAATAGGCATTACGCAACATAAAATCAGATTAGTCGAGCTCCAATACAGATACTGCATACCAGCCAACGAATGAGAAATAAAGAGGCGGTATTATTTTCTTTAACTTATCGGAAACAGTCTCTCTCCCTCCGATGATAGGG